ATGAACAGACATTTCTCACACAAAGAAGTAGAAATAGCAAATAAACATATGAAAAAATGTTCAACATCACTGATCATTCGAGAGATGCAAATGCAAAGAATTCTGAGATTCCACTTCACCCCAGAAAGAATGGCTGCTACCAAGAAATCAACCAATAACAAATGCTGGTGGGGCTGTGGAGAAAGAGGAACCCTGCTCCACTGCTGGTGGGAGTGTAGACTTGTGCAACCACTGTGGAAATCAGTATGGAGATACCTCAAAGAACTAGGACTGGCAGTACCATTTGATCCAGCTATTCCTCTGCTGGGTATCTTCTCCAAAGAATTAAAAGAATCATACCTCAGTGATATATGTTCACCCATGTTCATAGCAACACAATTTGTGATAGCTAAAACTTGGAAGCACTCCAAATGCCCATCAACTGGAGACTGGATAAAGAAAATGTGGGTTTTTAAAAAAATATAAAATGGAGTACTACTCAGCCATAAAAATGACAAATTAGAGACTTTTATAGCTAAATGGATGCACAGTGAGGCGATACTCTTAAGTGAAATAAATAGGACACATATGTGTAAATACTGAATAGTTTCTCTAGTGTGAGAGGCTGAAAGTGTAAATAAGGACTAAAAGGTATAATAGATAATGTGAAATGGGAAGAAAAGGGGCAAAGGGGAAGGGGAAGTGGGAGGGGTAGGGGAAAGGAAAGAGGGGAATGGAATTAATATGAGAAGATGAAAAAATGGAAACAAAGTCTTTGTCAATAGGGAGGGATGGAGGGGTTGAAGTGGGGGCAGGCGAAGGGGGAAAAATAAGAACCAAGAGAGATTTTGCAAAGGTGCAAATTTCCAATGATGAATGTCATTATATTGCATACCTAAAATGTACCAATAAAATAAAAATTAAAAAAATATTTTTAGTGTCAATACTGAGGAAAAGATAATTATAAGAAAACTCTTTAATTTGTAAAATGTTCAATTGCCTAATTTCCCAGAGATCATCTTGATTCTGGTATTCATCAGGATTAAAATTAAAATCACCTTTTTCAAAAGGCCTTCTAAATGGAAGCTGTTAATAACTTTTGAGAAAAGCAGTTTAGTAGAACACAGGTAACTTTCCATTAAAAAAATCCCTGGAACATGCCCTATTCCTTTTCTCTCATCCTCATGAATTATTCAGTTTTTTAAAACCTCTTAGAGTTAGTGCACTACCTTCCACAGTAGTGGCTATTTACTTTTGAGGCCATCCAACACACAGTGTAGAAATTCTGCAATAAAATTCCTCTTCCTGTTTTGGCCCTGCAATGTGGAACAGCCTTAGCATAAGAATCAGTTGGCCAAAATAAAGATTTTATCTTCTGAGGTACTTCGCATGATTTAAGACTGTTATTGCTCTTGGCATAGATGAAAATTTATATAATGAATTAACTGGTCTGTACTCATCCAAATCACAAAATTTGGTTTCCCTTGGTTCAACACACTGTTCACATGTTACATTTACTATTATCACATCCCTGCCTCTTAAAGGGTTTTCCTTCTGAGAGCAGCTCTAAGAGCCTCCATCCTAGTGAATCCAACCTTTGTTTCTATAAAACTTCAGTTTCCCAGTGAAAGAGGTGGTGAGGCAAATTCAGCTTGTGCTGTTACTGGAAGGCAGAGTATGTACCTGGCCACTGGGTTGAAGGCACCGCTCTCAGAGCAGTCCCCAGCATATTCAGGTCCCCCAAACATCCATGCAATTGGAATGAGTGGTGGTGTCCCTAAGAAAAATTTTTATTCTTGACTTATTTCTGTCTCTTGAGAAAATTAACCACATGCTTAACGACAAATGATAAAATCAGTCATTATAGAAGCTGACTGTATGGGTAATTTTTGCTATAGAAGCTGAGTCTAAAATAGCATCACAAAGAATCTCATATAATCCACTTTGTAGGATAAGTTAATTATAAAATGTTCTGACCTTAATGAAGCTAAAGAAGTAAGATACGGACAGCGGCATTTCCACTCTCATAGGTCCACACTGGGATGACCTGAACCTACTTCTGTTTACTTCTAGAATCTTCATGTAGCTGTCCTGCTATGACTCTTAGACTTTAAATCCCGTCAGAACAAAAAGCAAACTTCAAATTTCAAATAACAGGCCTCAGTTAATGCCTGGTTAACTAACATAAGGTAAAATAGTCCAACCAATCCCACTGAACTTAGCTTGATTTTTTTTTTTTAATCTTATTTCTAACACCCTAAAGAAACTGGGACAAAATTTACAAAGGGACAGATAAAATGTTCGGAATGCATCCAAACTGTCTGCTGTCAGTTGAGTACACCCATACCCCTGTGCTTATCAGTGGGAACTGAAAGGAAAAGAAATTTCAAATTAAAATATGGTCCATATGAGGCGATGGCAAGGGACTCTGGGAAAATCAGTGGCAGCTGAGAAGTCAGTTTCATGGTATTCCAGTCATAAAGTGGACTCAAGATTGTACAAACGGGCAAGGTACTGGAATCAATTATTGAATAATTCCTTATGAACATAATTACACTGCTGCCATGCTTATCTCAGTGTAACTGAAAAGTCAGTGCATTAAGAAGGGTCCTGCTCTTTGTTGTGCAATTATAAAAGGATTATAGTGGAAATGTTTTGTTCAATTCTGGAGCAAACTCTTATCAATGATTAAAATTATTTATACACACTTCAATTAGATAAAAAAATCAAGAAAGTATGTGAAGAAGATAGATGGTTGATTTTGAAGAATTCTGAAATGAACAATAATGCCTAGAACTTTTGAAGGGGAATCAACAAATTTTGTTTTTTAACAGAATTTCTCTTTACTATTACTCTATTTGCAATTCTTTTTTTTTTTGGTACCGGGAACTGAACTCAGATCTTTGCGCTTGTGCAGCAGGTGGCGAAACCACTGAGGAAATCCCCAGCCCCTTGCAATTCTTGATTATCTGAAATTAAAATAAATATTTCCCTTATGCCTTGTCTGCCTATTTATGAGGTATTGCTAATGGTGGCTACAAGGTCATCACCCAGGTATTTGAACAAATAAGGCGTGGGCAGACAGTTTATGTCTTGGAACACCAACACCAGCTGGCTACTTTAATAGCAAAGTAAGCATTAAATATTTGAAACTATAAATCACCTCAAATTTCTTTAGTTCTTCCTTGGCAACTGTATAGAGCACCCCCGAAGAGCTTGGAAAAGCAGCTGTCCTTTCTGAAATCTTCAGCCAGTCTTCAAAACGAGAATAGTCATCCAGAAACTTCTGCCACAAACGCCATGTCTCTTCGATTCTGTGGCAGAAAAGGAAAGAACAAATTCCCATTATTAAATGTTGTTTGTGCTCCAGAGCCCAGTCTGATGCCTGCAACAGGATTAAGAGTGCCCAAATAAGCAACTGCTGTGCCAAACAATAACTGTGCCTTGAGCCAAACTGACCAGAGAGAGAGACAACTGTTTGAGCTAAAATAAAACAGCTGATTTTTTTAAAAAAACATGTCCTGTAGCCCTGGGTTTGGAGTTCGCCAAATTGAATATTCTAAGCACATAACAAGAGCTACTTTGGATATTTGCAAGGAAATCTAGAAATGCCTGACAATGCAATGAGCCTGAGATTCCACTGAAAGAAAACTGCTGTTCAACATCAAACCGTCCCTGACAAAAGTCAACCAATGACAGCAAGATAAATAGCAAGCTTTCAAGAGTCACCAGAGAGCACAATGATTTTGTGATTAGGTCATTATAATTTTATAATTATACATTGTGACTTTTTGCCACCTTAAATTTCAAAGAACTAAAAGATGAATAATGTGCCTCTTTCAATCATTCAAATTTTAATAAAAGAATGCTCAGTTTTTTTTCACAACCACAAATTCTGCAAAGTTATACTTGTTTGGCAAGGGCATATTTTAATTTTTCTATTTTCTATTTAACCTGTTTGCTCAGACATACACTTAGCTTGTTATATTTACATATTACCTTTATACCTACTTATTTTCCCAACTAAATGAAGATGAAGGCACACTTGGGAAGTTGGGGCTATTTTGGGGCACCGGGACCAAAGGGAGACACTGAACAATGGATGCTCTAGGTATTTCCTTTTCCTTTTTGGTCTTTCCTCTTCCCTAACTGAACACTGCAGCTCACTTGAGCCTCCTTTCCATAGACATAGCGCAGATGTTTCTCCACCGCCGGTCCAGGTTTCGTGTTGCCTGCTGGATGGAGTCACACTCGGCATCGGTGGCACAAGCATCACAGTCATGCAGCAGGACCTCACACAGATTGAGAACAGAGGCGACACCCGTGCTGTGCTTCTCGATATCTCTCTGAAGCTCCTGAGGGAAACAAAGGGCCCTTCATTCAGAAATTCCATGCATACATGTGGGAGAACATGCAGCAATGTTCACTGACTGATAAATGGTTAAGCTAAACCTTGACATGTATCTTACTTGAACGCATGAAGTGTCCTCAGCCTTGTTTATGAAATCCAGCAACCTCAAAGTTACAGTACAAGAAAATGGATCTAGAAATATTTCAGCTACGTAAATAATGCCAAAATACAAACCAAAACAAATGCAACAGACTATACTAAGAGTGAAACTACTTTCTTTTTTTTTTCCATTAAATTTATTGGTACTTTTTAGTATACAATACAGTTACATTCATCATTGAGAACTTGTACTTTTACATGATGTATCTTGGTTCTTATTTTTTCCCCATTCCCTTGCCCTCCCTTCACACCCTCCACCCTTCCCTATTTACAAAGACTTTGTTTCCATTTTTTTCCTTTTCCCATATTTTTTCTTTTCCCTTCTTTCCTTTACCCTACCCTTCTCCTACTTCCTTTAGACCTTTGCTTCCTATTTCACAATATCAATTATACATTTTGATCCTTATTTACACTTTTAGTTTTTCACACCAAAGAAACTATTCAGTATTTACACGTGTGTCCTATTTATTTCACTTGAGAATATGGCCTCAATGTGCATCCACTTAGCTATAAATGTCTCTAGTTTCTCATTCTTTATGGCCTAGTAGTACTCCATTTTATAAAAAAAAAAAA